CAGTGACCGCAACATATTGTACTGTACGCTACCCCTCCGACTAACAACTAAATACACACTTAAAAATTCTCCGGTGCGCTATCAACATAGGGACTATAAGAATGCTGATTGGGAATTCCTATCAGATCTGCTAAGAAATTCTGACTGGGAAGAATACTTCATCAACAATAACTTAGAAGTATCACTTGAGATATTCAACAAAACAGGTGGCTCAGCAAGAGACACAATCGCGCCCCTAAAATCCGCTCTGAAGACACCAACTCCGTTTATTGACCGGAAAACGCGACTAAAACTAAAGAAATTGGAAAGAAAATACCATGTATTTAAGGAATTTAATGCGTTAAACCAAATACATGAAACTCTTAAACTGCTTGAAGAGAAACACAAATTGAAGTCACAACATGAGGAAAATAAAGCGCTAATGGGTAACACCAAAACTCAGGAACTTTGTAGGATATTGCAAAAACGTCTAAAAAGCAGTAAAGACAATAATGTGAGCATCTTGGAACATAGGGGTGTAATATACAACGATCCCCAGGTTATAAGTGAACTCCTCAGTGAGTGGTTTTGCAATGACACCAGAGTGCACTCGACTCCAAATTTCCACATGACCTGCAAAAGTAACCACAAATTAGGAGAAATAGATTTTAATATACAAAAAATAGACTCAGCGATTAAGACATTGAAGTCAAATGGCAGTACTGGAACTGACGACATACCATCTGTCATATACAAAAATGGTAGCACGGAAACGGTAATCTTGTTACTTAGAATATTAACTCTGTCACTGGAAACTGGAACTTATCCTGAAGTGTGGAAAACCACATACATATTACCCAAGCACAAAGCAGGGGCCAAAACCAGTGCATGCAACTATAGACCTATTAATATAACACCGGTTATATCACGAATAATCGAGAAAGTGGTTAAAGACCAAGTGTCAGACAACTTACTAGAACATGAAATTATCAACCCATCACAAAACGGATTCCTCAAAAAGAGATTGTCAATGGAGTTGAAGATTGAACGATCAATTCTTGGTTGTTTGCTTAAAATCAACTTCCCCAATTTTCGCGGAGGCATCAATACGACAGTCATCGTCTCATCGGTCGCTGTTCAGAAAGAAGAGTGAAACATCGTCAGAAACTTAGTTCACTTATTCTTTTTATATGTTGGTGTAACAATAAAGAAATATCAAGCGGCAGATCGGTGTTTTGGTTTTTTCGTCCGTTATAACTAAGCGTTTCTGAGAAACTTCAAGGAACAGCGTGGGCCCGAGCGTAGCGAGAGCTGGGCATTAACGGTTTATGAGACGTGATTGACAGAGATCATGTGTGACCTGTCACATAGACCTTTTCAATGAAGTTACACGAAGCCGGGACAACAGAGAACTAGTAATTGTGCTATATTTCGATATAACAAAATCCTTCGACAGTGTCCCCCATAATCTGTTATTCAGCAGGTTATGCCCACTAGGGATATGTGACCCTCTCCTGAGCTGGATAAAATCATTTCTCTGTGGCCGAAGTCAGATAACGAAAGTTGGCTCGATAATCTCAAGGCCTAAACCAGTAAGTAGTGGTGTAATCCAGGGAAGTGTATTAGGCCCACTCCTATTCATAATATATATAAACAGTATCTGTGAATGCTTTAGTGTTGGCAAACCGATACTATATGCAGATGACTTAAAAGTGACCTATAAATGCAAGAACACAGATCTCAGAATAATAGTAAACGCCATACAGCAAGAATTAGAAAAAATGGACAGATGGTGTGACACCTGGCGACTCCAGTTTAATGTCGACAAATGTGGCTGGCTCTGCATAGGTTGCAACAATTTAGAACTTGACCTGACAATTCAAGGCCATTTACTCTTACGACTGGAATCTGTATTGAACCTAGGACTGAAATACTCACATGACTTATCATTTTCTGAACATATCTCCAAACAAGTGTCAAAGTCATGCAGACTTATCGGCTTTTCACTCAGGAACTTCTACAGAAATGAGTCCAGAATTCTGTTGTGCAAGGTTTGTGTGCGTCCTTTATTTGATTACTGTTCATTCATGTATGGTAGTATACGCATAGAGGACAAATTGAAAGTCGAGGGAGTGCAGAGTTACTTCACCTCAAAATTACTCGGAACCGAAAATGGTGCGAACTACTCCACTAGATGTGATACACTAGGATTAGAAACACTATGACTGAGACGCCTGAGACTAAACTTAACACTTTACTATAAGCTTCTAAACCACTTAGTTTTTACCTCTACTAATGGCATTCGACTTCCAGATGACAGTGGCTACAAACTGAGACACACTAAGGGTACAATAGCTATCGAACAATGTAAAACAGCCACCGGGAAAACGTTTTACCTGATTAGGTATGCACAGAAATGGAATAAACTACCAATAAATAAATAGATTTATTCTCATGGTACAGTACATGAGGGACGCCAGTTTACAGGCATCATCAAATTGTTACAGAAATAGAACCATATTATTCAGTCACATTTTACAATCGATAGCAAAATATGTTTTACATGTACGCTGGAGATTATACATACACTTGGTAAATGTTAATCCCAATAGTATAAAACATCCTTTTCACTTATGTGCAATCATTTCTGTGCATAGTTGGAAAAATCCCATAACGTGGATATATTTTTGTCGATTTCTGGAATATTGTAGTGGATATTATACCACTGCTCAACTATAACTTATATTGGCTGCTACTCTAGCTTCCAATTCTGCAGATATATCACCGCCAGTTATCAAGTTTGGATCCACTCTTTCGCAGGGCTCATCCTCCTTATTGTAACTTTAGAACAACGTCACAGAAAAGAAAACTGTAGAGAAGTTCATCATTTTTTGGTTTACATACCAGGATCAATTTACAGGATAATTGGTTTCTATATACTCTGTATCTTACTTTTTAGTACTTTGTAAATTTATTGTTTATTTATAAGCAATAAAATTCCATACGGTATCCATAGTAGTACTTAATCTGTATATCCACTCGATATACTATTTTTCCATATACCCGTTTTCGATTTAGCTCGGCTTTAACTTTAAACCATATTGATTAGTTTTCAGCAATGGCACAACGTAATAAACGAGTACTTTCCATACGTAAGAATAGTTTGGGTCACTCAGCTAAGAAGATACGTACATCACTGTGCGTTCCGCGTAGCCTCAACAATGTCCCCGAAGTCATTGTTCCCGACTTGTTGTCAGAGGTATATGCAACTGCTGAACAAAATAAGTTGGACCTTATATCTCTAGGAAACTCTGTGAAGGAATTAAATGAGAATATAAACACCATTAAGCCACTACTGCTTCTTTGTAACCCAACTCATGATGCTAATCCGGAAAGTCTGCTGAAATCTGAGCGTATGTTAGACTTTATAGCCAGTGAAGTTACTAAACGAATCATGTCCTCGTACAACGTTCTCGCTTACAATCTGCCTGATCGGACGCCTCTGGACAAAATCAAAGTGACATGTCTCCAAGCGTGTGGCATGCCATCAGCGAATTGCCACCTAATCAGACTCAGGAAAAAATCAGGAAAGTATACTTGCCCTGTGCTGTTTAAATTCAGTAGTCCTAATGATGCTAGGAAATTTCAGTCGTCAAATAAGTTAATTAGTTCATCCACACCTTATGGTAATATTAAACTTGCCCATGACCTAACGCCATGTCAAAGACGTAGCCGCGCAAGTGTACCAAGTGTCGCAAAAACTTACGTAACAGCAGAATGTCCTATAGAAGACTCTGTCGCCTTAAACTTGAGTAAACCTAATGGTACAGACATACATGAAATACTCTTAAATAATAAAAATTTACCTAGTAAACTCAACGATGAAGCAACTACGGTCATAGACTTAGATGCATCTTCAGAGTTATGCTCGCTAGCCACATCACCATCAGCCGCTAATACCACTACCAACGTTAAGCAAAAGACTAAGCTCGAGCATGTAGCATTAAGCATATCCTCCCCGAGCAGCACTCAGATTAGTGAGCATACAAAACGAAGTAAAATAACCCTGCCATCCAGAATACCTGTACTCAAACACATCACTGATAGGTTTCTCAGCAGCGAACCAGATAACATTAACTTAAGCGACCCCAATCATACCACTAAACCAGGGAAGCAGAATAAGCCCTCATACCGCCATAAATCTAACGTCAATGAAAAGAGAGGTAACCCGCCGATTCATCCAACATCAAACAAGTCTTCGTCCGATAGACACAACAGACGCTATATGTCTGGGCACCCTAAAAATAAGTCGAAGCCCGACGGGCAGGCATACACCTACCCCGACACAACTTTCCAATCTAGGGCTACTATAGACAAAAGTTTGATCCAGGGACCTCTACAACAAGGAACAAGTGCGCTAGGCATGTTTCCTAAAGGTGGCCTTTTGACTCACCACATCCCCGAAAACCATCGCATACAGACCACCCAAGACCGTCAATGGACTAATATTTACGAAAATAACTTAAACACACAAAATATTAGTCATAACTGCGATACACGTAACTCTACCCCAGCATACTATCCACAAGGAATACCTACCTCCCCCCCATCCAATCTAAATTTTCTCAGCCAACACGAAATTTCAGCCTCAATATTGACGCAAATAGCACACATACTGTCAAGCCACTTATCACCGGATGGGAGGGCGATGCATTGGAGGCACGGTATAATGAACACCTCACACCCGCCGGGGTAACAAACGATGGCACATCTCTCTGTGCTGATACTGGTGTAGGGCACTTTTCCAGCACTGCTAGTAAGTGGCCACCATCTGAGTTAGCACCCATCAAACAATCTGTTCTAGACGCCATAAACCTTGGAGAGAATATTTTTAAAGATATATGCGATTTCACCGTCACCCCTAACTCTCTCTCATTCTGTCTTATCAATGCTCGCTCCTTACTCAACAAAATGTTCGACTTCACGACATTATCCCTAATTTGCAATCCGTCTCTCATAATGATTACTGAGACATGGTGCACTCCTCAGATTTGCGATAAAGATATTTCTATTGATAACTATTATGTATTCAGAGGCGACAGAAACTATGGTAGAGGAGGAGGATGTGCTATGTATATCAGGTCTGATATTAAGGCCACACAGTGCTTCTACCCAGAGCTCATCACAGATAACGATTCAGTGTGGGCTATTCTAAGACTGTCTCACTCCAGTTCCTATCTTATAGGTTGCATCTATCACCCCCCGTGCTCAACCGTTGAAGGTAATATGAAGCTTGCTAGCACGTTCGCTTACGCCACTTCACTACCTCACACGGCTAAAATTATATGTGGGGACTTTAATATGCCCGATGTAGTCTGGCAACCACTTTCCTCACCAAAACGGTACAATGAATTTATCAACATAATAGAAACAAAAGAATGGCAACAACACGTACAGTATCCTACCAGGCTATCTAAGATTTTAGATCTAGTTTTCACTAATGGTATCATCCCCACTACCCTTCGAGTAGGTAAAGAGTTTCCTGGCAGCGACCACAGAGTAGTATTCGGTACATTTAATATTTGCACTAGCATGAGTTCGACAATAAACGCCAACAAAGTATTACTCAGGGGTTACAGACATGCTCAGTGGGATGAACTGAAACCATACATACGCACCCTAGACTGGGAGCCATACTTTACGTGCAGCTCGGCTATAGAGACAAACAAATTACTCTATGAGAACCTAGGATTTGCACATGACTTCATCGCTCCAGTAAGACTTGTGAAAACGAGGCCTAAACAGCCCGACTTCATCCCCGTAAAGATTCGAAACCGACTGCGTAAGCATGCTAGGCAATTCTACAGATATAATGACTTTTCATCACTCATTACACTCAAGCAAACTTATGATTCATACAAATCTAATCAGTTATCTGAGTCCATCAAACTAGAACGCATCCTCCACTCACGACCTGATAATACAGAGGCATTAGTTAAACTAATTAAGTCACGAATCAACAACAACAGAATAAGTATCCCTAACTTATTACTAGATGGAGAAAAACTACACGAAGACCCGCAGGAGATATGTGAGTTATTCAGCTCCCACTTTTCTAGCTACTATACTATCGAAGAAACAGTAGATAGTCTTGAAGTTCCGACAATACCAAATCACTTTTTGGGTAATATAACATTCACCCAACAAAAGATTTCCTCCGCTATAGCATCCCTCCGGACATCATATAACGCTGGGCCCGATGGAATTCCATCTATCTTGTTGAAAAGAGGTGGTGAGGATATACCCATTATCCTACTAAAGTTTTTCATTCTGTCCTTAAATAATGGCAGTTACCCAGAATGCTGGAAACTGTCGTTTATAACCCCTAGGCACAAACAAGGACCAACTTCTAACATCGAAAACTACCGACCGATTAATATCACGTCAGTAGTTTCCAGGGTTATGGAAAAGGTTATAGGGCAAGATATTGCTTCATACCTCCACCTTCACAAAGTGTTTACTCCAGCACAACACGGCTTCTTGAAAAATCGATCATGCTCCACCTGCCTACTTGACTACTTTGATGATGTTACCGCTAAGCGTGATCATGGTTTGTATGTCACAACTCTCTTCTTTGACTTCAAAAAAGCCTTTGATAAAGTCCCACACAAGAGACTAATCCTTAAGCTAAAGTCGTACGGGTTCCAAGACCCCTTGTTATCCTGGCTCATTTCTTTCTTGGAAGATCGTTCCCAAGTTGTGAAATTTGCAAATAATTACTCGTCACCCAGACCTATAAGAAGTGGAGTGATTCAGGGTAGTGTACTAGGTCCACTGCTTTTCGTAATCTACATTAACGACATCTGCAGCGTAATCAAGCATGGTACCCCATACCTCTTTGCTGACGACTTAAAGATTGTATACAGCTTCCCCCATTCTACACTAAACGAAGGATTCACACATATTCAAGATGATCTGGATAGGTTACATAACTGGAGCAATGACTGGCAACTGCCATTCAATTCTGATAAATGTGGTGTCCTATATTTCAATAACTCCCATCCGAATTTCAGGTTACACCTAGGTAACTCTTTTCTCCAAACCCTCAGTTCCATAAAAGACCTGGGAGTTACCTACTCACAAAACTTAACATTCAGTCAGTACGCAAAAGCACTTGTTTCTAAATGCCGAAGACTCACAGGCTTGTTGCATCGAAAAATGTACACAAATGAGGCTAAAGTCCTTTTATACAAAGTCATGGTTCGTCCAGTACTTGAATACTGCACAATTGTCTTCGGTTTCATGCATGGGTATGACAGGGTTCGTATTGAAAATATTCAGCGAAGTTTTACTCGACGCCTATTATACAAACATGAAGGACTGACTTACGCTGATAGGTGCAAAATGTATGGACTTCAGCCACTTTGGTTAAGGCGCCTGAAACTCAACCTTACATTCCTCTTTCGCCTTTTACACGGCTACACCAAAAGCAGTAATCCAATAGCTTTCAATAATTTACCCATATATACTCTTAGGAATCATGAAAATACTCTATCCATAAGCCGGTTCCGGACAAAACTGCGATCACGTTTCTTTAAAATACAGTACAGTGCATTATGGAACGAACTTCCACTTACTGTACGTAGTTGCCGATCTCCTACTGAATTCCAGCGTCTACTTAACGAGTTCCTATCAACAAAAGAGCTTCGGTCTACTTATCCATACTTTATCCATATGGGCCGCTCAACTAGCTTTAGTACTACAGACCCCAGTGCAATACCCCCAATTTGAGGAAACTCATTTGCCCCGGCAACCGTACCTCATCTATAACGTGATAAAACCAACCTAATCTCTCCCACATGCCTTTACCTAAGGTCCGGTTATTCAGCTTACTAGAGATCCTATCGATATTTCTTCAATCGGGTTTATAAACTCATTAGACTCTCCTGGATGTATAATCCCAAATTAGTTGTGATAGTTCTCCCATAATATAAGCAAACTGGTACTTTGTAATGTCTAAAGCATGCCATATGAAAAGTGGCCAGGAATACCTAGCAATAACAAACTCAACCAACCAACCATTTTCCCCAAGTTCATTCAACCTACCCTTATCCCTAATCGTACCACTACTCACTACACTCTACTCAGTAGAATATGACTTAATTTGCTCCGGTGCTCAAAACTCTTCTACCCTTTACTTTTTAAAAAAGACGTTTTAACTACTAACTGCACAGTAGCCATTTAACTAACTCACTGGTTTCCTCTTCACTGTAATCTTCAATAAGTTCGTCAGTATAATTATTTCCGAAAACCATTACATTAGCAACCATATCTTTTAATATTTTACGAATATACTTATATTATTAGCATAATACACTGCACTATTTTTGAGTTGAATTGATTATCTTCAGTCAACAGTTACCCATTCTCATATAATTTTCTAAAATTCATAATGTTAAAGCTATGTAGTATTTCTGTTAATATCTTTTATAATATGTTTAGACACGTTACTTTGCAATGTCAGATGTCTACTATATACAAGACTGTCATGATAATTTAGTACACTAAGTCCTGCCAACCGACCTTACCTTCAGTTCATACTACCTACATTGATCCCTAACTATATTGTTCTGCTGAATCTTGCTTAACTATTCACAAAACCTATTCTTTTTATTCTTTAAGGTTTTAACTTCTTGTAAAGTAATCCGTTCATTAGGACGCATGCATACATATATAATGTTCATAAAGATGTATGTGGAGACCTATTGGAAGCACTCATTAAGAAAGCTAGGGAGATGGAATATGGGGTACGAACATGTCTGGTACCAAGCAGTATATTTGCGGTAGCCATAATAATCATATTCTCAGAGCTTAACATCAAAAAAGGAGGGAGGGTGGCGTTAGCTGATCAGTAGATATGGTGGGGGTCACTAAGGTGAATCGCCCCATTCTGCAGGAACAGCAATATACAAATTAAAGGCTCGAGATATTTCTGATTTTTATGAGGGCTTAGATCTTTATCTTGAAAAAGATAATAATGAACGCCTTGACAGATCATGCTTCTACCTTTAAATATATACCATTCGCTCAGCCTATTGTTGAGATGCGACCATGTGGGATCTGCACAGATTTATGGGGCATCTTATAAATCAACTTGCTGTCCATTGTCGGATCTTTAAATACCACTTCACAATGTCTTATCTCATTCATTTTCTAATAACGTCTTTACTTAATCCTCATTGTATCCCATTAAACCTAACATTTTATAGCTCTTTATGAATTTGATTCGACTTATTCTATTCCTATTCTCTGTGAGGTACGGTTGTGCACCAAATGCACAAAAAAGCATAAAATAAAAAAACAGACATAAGGAAAAAATGTATTAAAACCAAAAGTGGACATCATGATACTACCAGATATACGCGTAGCATTATACATTGCAAATGAACGTTGTCAGCCTAGGGAGTTTTCTATATTAATGCATTTATTAGTGATACTTGCACTTACCCATTTCATTACACTTTATTGATTCACCTTAGCACTTTTACTTTTCTAAAAACAGCTTTCAATCCGTTGTAAACGTTGTACTTACCTCAATATTGGTTGGTTATCGTATGCCGACAACCACGGGATGAAAACGAAACGAAGTCGATTTTCCCGCTCAACCTGGAGGACAATTGTACAATTCAATAACTATACAGCCTAGTTCAGACAATGTGTATTTATATATATATCAAATATTTAACTGTTGAAACATTATTAACTTGTAGACAATCTACGATTTGATATTATATCATACTTGATCGTGCCTGTAAAAATGGCATGCATTTTCATGTAAATTTATATGTTTATATGAGAATATACATTATTATTACATCAGGAATTACAGAAGTATTGTCTTCGCATTAACAAAAAATAAACCAGGTCTTTAGTGGATGGGTTATAAGTTCCTGGGGAAAAAATAAAGCTTGAAGTCAATTTTCATACATTATTTTGTTGTGTCCAGAATCCTTAAATTATAGTTCATTGATGTGTTATTTTGAAATCAGTGATATGTTTATCTCATTTGATCTGCAATGTCATTGTCGGGAGTAAAATACATAGGCTTTAGACGCATTAATTAATGGATTTCTACTGCTTGTGAAATACTTGACGGTGAAAACGTTTGACGCAATGGGTTTTCTTTGGAAAGCCACCTTCAGAAGGTAGTTGTGGTTTCACAGCTGATACGATTTGATATTTGTCCACGTTTTGGATGAGTTAATGTGACAGTGTTTCCTAATAACTATGAAGAGTAGAAATAAGTTTCACTTCACTCTCCTTAACCATAGGGTCCGAGTTTCAGTCGTATACACGTGTCAAGATACTCTATTTGTTGATCAAACCCTTTGCGTTTCATGAGGAATCTCCTCACACTGTTTGCTGGGCTTATCGCAAGGGAGGTAAATGGATAATAATAATAATTTATTTTCATATAAACATAAATTTACATGCCTGAGGTGGGATCTTGGTTTCTGGGGACTTTATACTGTTTTTAATGTGAGACTATCTTGTCTGGCCCTGAGTGGAGTGTGACCTGTCGATATTTGCAGGTTGTCGGTAGTGGGAACATCAGTATCTATTTCATGTGTAGAGTCCGCAGATTTCCTAGAAGTGTTCTCATGAACTCTGAGACTCATCCCAGTGTTAGTGCTCCTTTTACGTTTTACTCCACTTTTACATGTCGTCTGCTCACCTACTACTATGCGAGTGTCGCTTGGAGGTTCGATTATTTGGCACTGACACTAATCTTGTTTTGTGCATCCAAGGTGCTCTTAGCTACTTTTCGCTTGCTGAGGATTTTGTCCGAGGCTATTTCAACATTCTTGAATTTTGAAGAAGAGGCCTAAAAATCATTAATTAATGCGTCTAAAGCTTATGTATTTTACTCCCAACAATGACATTGCAGATCAAATGAGATAAACACATCACTGATTTCAAAATAACACATCAATGAACTATAATTTAAGGATTCTGGACACAACAAAATAATGTATGAAAACTGACTTCAAGCTTTATTTTTTCCCCAGGAACTTATAACCCATCCACTAAAGACCTGGTTTATTTTTTGTTAATGCGAAGACAATACTTCTGTAATTCCTGATGTGTTGCACTCACTGACAATCTAGCGGATTTTTCCAACTATGCACAGAAATGATTGCACATAAGTGAAAAGGATGTTTTATACTATTGGGATTAACATTTACCAAGTGTATGTATAATCTCCAGCGTACATGTAAAACATATTTTGCTATCGATTGTAAAATGTGACTGAATAATATAATAATAATAATAATAATAATAATTTATTTTCATATAAACATAAATTTACATGAAAATGCATGCCATTTTTACAGGCACGATCATGGATGATATAATGTCAAATCTTAAATTGTCTACAAGTTAATAATGTTTCAACAGTTAAATATTTGATATATATATAAATACACATTGTCTGAACTAGGCTGTATAGTTATTGAATTGTACAGTTGTCCTCCAGGTTGAGCGGGAAAATCGACTTCGTTTCGTTTTCATCCCGTGGTTGTCGGCATACGATAACCAACCAATATTGAGGTAAGTACAACGTTTACAAGGAATTGGAAGCTGTTTTAGAAAAATTAAAATGCTGTGGTGAAACATTAAAGTGTAATAGATTAAGTGAGTGAAATATATCATTAATAAACACATTTATATAGAAAACAGAATGGGGAAGTAATTAATCCTTAGGCCTTGGTTCTATTTCTGTAACAATTTGATGATGCCTGTAAACTGGCGTCCCTCATGTACTGTACCATGAGAATAAATCTATTTATTTATTTATTTAAATGTATCTGCGTGGGTATCCATTTTGCATGGAGACTTTCTTCAAAGGTCTAATTCATCTTCTACAGCATAAGGGATAGATCGTTTCAGATGCGGGTGTGCAGAGATTTTATGGGGTTTCTTCCCCTTAAGTAAATATCCAACTGCAGGAACTGATCGGGAGACCATTCCACGGTAGTTTTCTACGAAGGCGCTGTCAATCACGTCTCAAAAACCGTTAATATCCAGCTCTTGCTACGCCGGGCCTCTCACTGTCCCTCGAAGCCTTTCAGAAACGCTTAGTAATAACGGACGCAAAAACCAAAACACCGATTGGCGACTCGAGAATTCTTTATTCTATCACCAACATATGAGCAGCATAATAACTAAGGTCTATGAACAGATATTACAATAATAAATCACGATATTACTTCTGACGGTTTTGAGCTTCCTTCTGAACAGCGACCGATGAGACGATGGCTGGTGTATTGATGCCTCCGCGAAAATATAGGGAAGTTGGGTTTGAGCAAACAACCATGAATTGATCGTTCAATCTTCAACTACACTGACAGACGCCTTCTCAAGGTTGTCGTTATTTCCGCATTAAGAAAAGTAATTTCAGATTCGCTTACCATTTCACAAGTGAACTTTATTGCTGCACGATAGTTATCAGATGCCTGTAACTTTTGACTGAGGCCACATTTTTACCACAGGTGATAAAAATGTCACCCACATACCTTGTTTAAAATTGAAAATTTTCGTTATTTCACCTTAATGGACTTAACTCTGGGCTTACCATGAAATGGTCCGCTAGCAATGCACGCAAAGGAGATCTGATTGATGTTCATGTCTCTCGCTAATAATCAATAAGTGGTGTCGTTGAAGGTGAATTTTACATTCGGCGTACGTCATATCAGTTTGTGAATTAGTATCTTAAGTCATCTGGTAGGCTGCCAGACTAGTAACTCGTAGGCTACTGGATAGAATCATGGTACCGCCCAAATGTTTGCTTCAATTTCAGCAATCAGTCACTATATCAGTAGCAGTTTGTTATCTCAACTTGGTCTGCGTTAATCTCACAACAAAGAAAACAACTGGTTAGGCAAATGATCGAGTGTCCTCCAGAGGGGATATGAAGGTGATAAGCACGATTTTCGAAAAACATATGTAGTCTGTTCAAAATTGAAATCTTCTGGTGTGGTTTGAACGCCAAAATAACTGTTTTGTGTCTTTGCACTGCTGTTTCCACTTCCTGTTGAATTTGGGAAAAAATATCCCTTCTAACCTTCTACATAAAGAATATAAGGCAGTTTAGTATGACTCAGGATCTTTACTTATACAGTTTGTTAATTCTTATCTTTTTCCCATTCTGCTACATTACCTTCACCCTCAATCTTTCCTGAGTTACTTAAAAAAGATTGTATTGCATTTAAGAGGGCACTGTCGATAGGGCGAATACGAAGCTGATTGATCAACCCATTAATATAGTTGTAGATGGACACTTGAATTCATGCAAGAAATGATCAAATACCATGCTGTCAATTTCTCAGCACTCTCTGTACACAAACTTCTTCCCTTACATGTAACCAGGTAGGACAAAATAAGTAATCATAAAAGACTATATGGTTGGACAACCAAGAAAAAGAACTCTCCGATACCCTATATATCACGCATTTTGTGACGGGAAAAGTGTCAGTAGTCATGCTACATATAATGATAAATTTCATATGAACTGGTAAGTTTACGTGAAGTGCATGTCACCTTTACAAGTACGGTCTGCTATATTACATGCTACGTTCAACATTCGCGTAACATTTCAGCGTGATTCGTTATATGTAAACAATTTTTTCTGTGAGACTCGCATAGACGTCTCTCTAGTTCCATACCTGTAACCCATAACTCTTTCACTAACTGGATATGGTTAATCATATAAAAAAGCCAAGAACTCAGTCACCTGTTAACCTGATGGCTAATAGCACATATCTGCTCTCTATAACAAGCAACACGCCTGCCACAAAATATAGCATTGAGTCACACAGTTCTCCAATATGCCGCCAGTGTGGGAGCACACTAAGCATTATTTAAATTACATTAATTTAGTTTACGGTGAAATCAAATGGTTATTGACCCTTTTTGTCTTCAGTTTGTGACGACAATCTGCTAACCAGTCATCCAAGGGAGCACATGAAAAAATATATAAATATTGTTTTCGCATTAACAAAATAACCCAAGTGCGTGTTTGATGGATTACAGATACCTGAGTAACACCAGAAATGGACTGTACTCAATAGAGAATAATAGTGGTCATTGTCAAGTGAGTTTGTTGTACCGCGCGGAGGTCAGCTGCCATTAGTCGCTGCATGGTTGCTCCGTACGAGTAAGTTAATTAACAGTACAAAGCTATTCGTAAACCATTTTAGATCATGAATACTGCTTGTATAGGATGTTATTCGGCGCCATGATATGGTGAAAGTGGATTTTTCAGGGATGCTAAGTCATCACTAGCCAAAACATTGAATGATGACATGGCATGTATATTTATTTTATTTATTTTTGATTACAGCTTGATTCCACACCGTATTTTTGGTACAAGTATGGAATTTTCAG